GCGCCGCCTCGGCGCCTCGGGCCGGCCCTGGCCGCCCGGCGGAGCGCCGGCGCCTCTGCAAGTCCCGTTCCAAGTGTGGTGCTCGTTGGGATGTCTGCTGGCCTCCCTGCTGCCTCTCAGGTCTCTAGCGTAAGCCCGCCCGTCCCCGTGTGGTGATGGTTTGTGAAGGTCTGGTGGATAACTGGACTCCGATGATGGGTGCTGCCGTCGGTCGCACGGTGCCAGCCTCATTTCCGATACATTTTGTGCACCTGCGGCGGCGGCGCCGCTCCTGTCACTGCTGGGGTCTGCAAGACAACAAGAGCGAGAGCGTTGGGTATGGCGGGGCCGCCGCGCCACCCTGCGCCCCTCCACGCGGCGTTAGTGACAGAAAGGGACAGCGGTCAAAGCGGCCAGGGCTTGGCCCGAGCTGGGGTTAATCCCGTGGGCAGCGGGTTAGTGCTGGAGCTGCCACGGAGCCACCATGGAGCCGTCACGGCCCTTGAGCGCCTCTCGCCACGGGGCGCCTCACGTGAAGCTCAAGGCTGGGAACAAAATCAGGCTTTACTTTTTAAAATTATTTTAAAAAATATTTTCCAATAAAAAAGGGCCTCTAGGAAAAGGTTCCTTTAAACCTTTTTTGAAAGAATTGCCTTCCGCAGGTAGGAAGCCCTTATTTTAAATAAGCCCCAAAGTGCGGGGAGTTTAATCAGTCGTGATGCTTTGACCAGGGAAAACAACATTTTCTAGTGTGATAAACAGGCTGCAATCATCTAATTTCCCTTCTGTTAAGGACAGCACTCAATCTACCATGCTAAAAAAGAAAAAAAAAAATCCTCCAATGGATTTTTTTTTTTTTTACGCTTTTGCCACAATGACTCGACAAACGATGACAGGAGTTATGACTTTGTTGTATCAAAAGCAATGGAAAGATATCGGAACAGGTAGGATGGCTTGGCTCTAAAACCTCATCTCCGGCTCCTCGCTGCCGGGTGGCCATTTCGGGCGAGACCGAGCTGAGCTACCGCAAAGCAGGGACAGAAAAAAATATATATACATAAAAAAGAAAAAACACAAAAAAAACAAAATATCCCCCAAAAAACCCCAAAACCCCTGAGGCCACCCCGTGCCACCACTAAGCTACAACTACCCGCTTCATTTGTGGCGGATGTTTATGAATGATTCATTAGAGACACGGCAAACACTGGAGTAACTGCATGGACTGAACGGGAGATGTGGGGCGGTGGCTTTATTGGGCTATTGGGCTTTTCTATTAATTGTCTTTTTTGGTGTGTTTTCTCTCCTAAAGCCTCTCCTGCAGGGCAGCTCTGCAGCTGCTCGCTCTGTGCCCGGCCACTTAGATACTGACAGCCAAAAAGCCAAAAAACCCCACACTTTTTGGGGCAGAATTTCTCCCTTCTCCCCGATGTCAAATGCTCCACGTGCTCCTGCCATGTCCTGTGGCTGCTCCTGGTTATTCCTGCAGCTCCCAGTGAAACCCTGTGCCACGACTCCCCAGCGCACTCGTTTTCACTTGTCTGCCGACGGGTCAGAGGCCCCCGCGGCTCTGGGCTCGGGGCAACCTGGCTCCCGCGCGAGGTGGCCGCGAGGCTCCCCCGTGGCCGACAATGTACTTACACTTCAAAGGAGGCAGGGTGCTCGGAATGAATTGCTGGACAGATAGAAAAGATAGCGAAGCGGAAAGCAATGTGAGGGAATTAGGCCACAGCACAAAAACACCTAGTATTGATTTTAGCTACAAACCGTAGTTTGATTATGGCCCATAAGGTAGAAGCAAGACTCCCCGAGCTTGTCATTTCTCATACATGCAGCGATATTAGGAGGTATCATCGCTGAGGAAGGAAGAGCCCAGCACCAAGAAAGGTAGGAAAGAGAAAGAGAAAAGTAGAAAATTTAGATTTCCCTATAATAAAGGTGAAAGAAAGAAAAATCTTCATATTTAATCTTAGAATAAAGAAAGTTTATTTTTTTCCAGTCAGATTGTCTAGGCGTCACCCAAATATCAGGCTGCAAAGACAGCGGTTGTTATTATAGTGACATAACGAGACATGTAGGAGGTGATTTGATAACCCAGACAACGAGAGCACCCATTCTAAGAGACAGCTGGAACAGTGACACAGAATGTCATAGAAAAAACATTAACAATCAAACAACGACAGAAAATAAAGTCCACCAGAGACCACAACATTAAAAATAAGTACAAAACTCATTACAAAAATATACAGCCTCATAGAGAAGCGCGTTCCAATCAAGTCAGAAAAATATTGGAACTAACATTATCCAGGTAACCATTTGCGACTGCAGTGAACAGAACAGAGGAGAGGAAGTCCCAAATATTACAAGGAGATTCTTCACAGTAGTGCAGCCCCTGTATATTAAATCCTCGCTTGGAAAGCCAATTTATCATGATTTATGCTTAGCCAAAAGAAAATTAGTGTTGGATTTTCATCCTCAGTGCAACAGACATATGCTTTGAGATGTGAAGCACTTAATTTACAGGATATTTCTGAAGTCTAGCATATGATACAGTACTGTACATCCAAAGGTGTAAGGAAAAGACAAAAGTAGAAAGAACATTACATAAATTCAGTGCCATCAATGAACCTTCCAGTGTGCTATTTATATTACAGAAGTGTAAACCCACGGCTTCCCTTCCATACTATTAAATACTTCAATTGTTTGTTTGTATACTCTGAATTCATCATTTTAAGTTAAATAATGAGCAGAATGAGCAGAAATTCTCTAACATGGTACAGTAACTTAAAAGAAAATCTAGCTCCTAAATTGTGCAGAATGATCTTGTTGCTTTGTTTTTAGAAAATGGAGTGATAAACACAGAACTACTGACACAGCAATAACCCAAAATTAGAGGAGAAATGTATAAAGGACATCCCTTCAATCATCAGTTTCTATAGAAACCTCAAAGACCTTTGGTTGGGAGTAGCCCTCCATCGAGGGCACAATATTTGACAATTATCTCAAATAAATAAGACATAATTATAATATTAAATAGAATGCTAAGTTAGGCCACCCAGCAATCCAACCTCTGAGGGAAGAAAAGGAATTCTAATGCAATTCTTAGTAAGAAACAAAGACTGTTTCCCCTAAGACAGACACGAGAGCACCTTTTCAGAACCTCCTCACCTTTTCAGACCTTACAAATTAACAAGTTGAAACCAGCAGACAGTTTAAGGGGAAAGAAAAGGGCTTGGGAGGCCAAATCAATATATTTTTTTGCAGTAAAGCTTTTTTTTTTCGTTTCTTTCTTAAATAACTTTATAAATATTTACATAAATATTAAAGGAAGGCAAATATCCCATAAGCCGTCTTGGCATTCATGTCTATGGATACAGACAGGAACTAAGAAAAAAGCCTAATAGAAAAATCATTGCTTTAGAGTTATAATTCACGATCCCAGTTTTTGCATTGATTAGAAGTAGAGATCTATTTGCAATCACAATTCAGCCGCTGAGAAATAGTTTGGCACAGTTTAATGACATTCCTTGTTTGGCTGGACAAGACAATAAGTTTTTTTGTTTTGTTTTCCTCTCTGATCACCAAAAATACTGCTAGGATGATCTTGCCTTACACTGCGCCCCAAGTCCATGGAAGCAAGCAAAGGATGAAATGTGTAGAAAATTCAGCACAAGCGAGGCAATTAACCATATGTTGCAAAGGTTGGTAAGACACTGGTGAGAAAGGAAAATAAAAAAGAATCCCCGCTTCAGATCTTGAGACAAACCATTCATGGAGTGATGCCAGGGAAGAAAGGAATGTTTTCATAGTTTGACCCACCATATTCTGGGACCGAGCCATCTCCACGTTTCAGAAACAGGCGGACCCTGCGGCCACCGTTTTTAATCAGTTCTATGGCCCGGGCGTGCTTCATGTTCTTGGTAGTCTCCCCGTTGATTTCTAAGATTTCATCACCAATCTGTCAACGTAAGGAAAGAGAAGAGGCTAAAATTAGAAATGAGGCTCCAAGAGGGTCACCACGAACATTTGAGGTGGAGGAGAACGGCTGCAGCAGTAATGGAAGAAGAACATGCCCAAGGGGAGGCTACGCATTCCCGACTGTCCAGGGACAGCTCTGCCCCAGCCACGACTTTGGCCACAGAGATCAGGAGACAGGAACCAGATAGGGAATGCCTTCCTGTACCAGCATCTTTCTGCATCGTTCTGAAAACCCACCTTGCTTTATTGCATTACTTAATGTCTACTTTGAACTGGTGCTACATTTATTTATTTAATTTTAGTTTGGTTATTCATAAAGTCCTTAGTAAAAAGTGGTTGTTCACTCTACATCTAACTGGGATATTCAAGTCTTTTTTCAGGCCCTTTTCTCACTTGGATGTAGATACCTGGTATGGATCAGTAAACTTGCTGTTGTAAATACAATCATTTATCAGGGTAGGAAAATGGCTTGGAAGAGCATGTCAAAGCATTGGCTTTTGCAGAGTAGCCCTGACTTATTTCTGTCAGCAAAAATTCTGCACCTGTAAATCTACCCTTAGCAAAAGAATCTTGAAAATGCCCTTCACACAGTATCTGGAGAGGAAAAGACACACGCTATAAATTATGCATCCTGTATTGGAGGAGGAGTACATAAAACTTAGCAGCTTACTTTGGGGGGCATTTAGTAACATTAGGCTTTGTTAAAATGTTTATAATCATCCATTAATGCAAAATTATGTGACAGACAAAGTTAACAGTTATTAATGACTAAAAACTACACTAAAATTGTAAATACCATCAGCCAGTATAGACGAATTGTCCCTCACTGCTCTTCTGCACCACAGCTGGAAGGTCAGAGCACCCTCACTGGCAGTGAGGGTACCTTGAATCTTTACCCACGGCTCCAGCTCCTCAGCTGGCAAAGGCTGTGGCCATTACATTGGCATTGTCACATGTGTTTGTCGCACATAAAATGCCAGCTTACATACTAAAATTTGGAAAACTGGGTCTGGAGCAAGGCTGGGGTGCAGCCTTCCAGCACATACACGCCCTAAAGGGCTCTACAGATTCTGACAGAAATAAACAGGAACTCCTGCTCCTTTCAGTGATCACTTCATTCTCCTCTTAGCTGGCACAGCAGCAGGAGCACCCCTGGCAGAGAGGCAGGGAAGTTGGCTTGCTGTCAGTAGGTGTCTTTCATAGAATCTGCTTCGTGCATACCCTCATCTTCCCACATCTCTCAGCCGGACCATCCTCAGCCAGCCGCAACACGTACAGATCCATATTATACTCCCGGCCACCTCGCAGGCTAAAGCCAAACCCTTTGGCTCCTCTTTCCAGCTCAACAGTATAAAAATCTTGATCCTGCTGGGGGGAAGACAACACAGGCACAGTTCAACAGAAAGTTAAATGCTATCCTATCTCTCATTTTGAAATTATTCAACCAGTGAACATAATTATACTTTTTTACTTGTAATTGCAAAACAAAAATCAGTCGAGTTGTTGCACGCAGACTAGAATTCCCTGGTTCCATGGATTTGTCCTGTAGTTTGGAGCACCAGCGATGGGCTGCAAAGGCCTGACTGAGTTAATGGGCCTGGCCACATCCCACATGTTTTTAGACACCTTGGTCATGGGACCTTGCTTGTAACCCATAGAGAAAGCAAGGTGGTGCTGGAAGGTGGTTAGCTCGTGCCAGGCTTCACTTAAATATTTGTGGGTAACTTGGATGAAGCTATATCATGGTGCTAGTGCATCCTTTGTGTTACCCCCCAATATCTGACATTACAAGAAGCTCAGAGGCACCGATGTTTTGCTCTCAAGCACAAACGCTGTTGGCGTGGAGATGTTCTGAAGACCCTAATGAATGGGGTCAGCTCTGGGCTGGCCAGCAGCAAGGGAGCTAACAGTGAGATAACCTCCCTAACAAGATGCCGCCTGCAAAAGCTGGGGCACTCCCATTACTGCTCCTTGTTAAGTTTTGCTCTTTTCTGTCCCTTGAATGTCTCATCTGCACACTGCAGTCCTTTCCAGAGAGACCCCTTGAAACACGCACTTCAATAAACAAACACATAAATTATTACTGTCATAAAATCATTAGCAGCCCTTTTTTTCTTTTTTTTTCTTTTTTTTTTTATCTTAATGAGACCGTGTTTGAAACATTTGCAGGCTGCAACAACAGCAGCACATATTAAGAAACTAATCAACAAATCCCTCTTTCTCCACGAAACAGACTGATGGAGACCAGCCTCCCAGCAGGAA